GCGCTTGCAGAAGCTGGAGGTCAGGGCCCCAGGCCTGTGCGCTGGGACGCCTCTGCAGGCCCAGCTCCGGGAGCGGCCGGAGGAAGCGAAGCAGCTGACGGTGGTCAGGGCACCTGCCCGCACTGAGGGCTGCTCGGCTCACCGGCCAGCCCGGTGGGGCTGTACACGTGGGAACGATTGAGTCCTCGGGCAGCGTTAGGGGCGGGCTGCTAGCCTCACCCACCCTGAGCGCCTGGGCCGAGGCCCAGCCAGGGAGCAGCAGCGCGGGGTGCCCGGCCCAGGCTCCGGCCCAGGTACGAGGCTGCGAGAGGGGGCTCAGAGGTCGACAGAGCGCTGTCTGTGGCAGTTTTCTTGGGGGAACTGCACTCCCTTCTCCCTGGCACCCCACTGTCTACAGCAAGGGCACTCGAAATGTCACGGGAGCAGGAGGGAGGGAGGGGCGTCCTCAGACATCCCTGCTCATGTGTGATTATGGCCTGAACAGCCCATTCACAAGGAAACGTGACCGAAGCGGGGCTCTCGGCCTGGTGGAGGCAGGTGTGGTTTCCACTCGGCAATGATAAAGGAGCTTTGCTTTGGGGCTCCTGTGCGGACTGCACCCCGGCCCAGGGCAGGGCCCTCCAGCACTTGTCCCCTGTGCAGGGGCTGCGGGGCTGTGGGGCCGTGGGGAGCGAGGCAGAGCCCTCAGCCCCTCCTGTCTTGCAGCTACTTCTCGGCAACACACAGACCGACCAGTCTCCTCGCAGGGGCGCCTCTCCCAGCCGCATGCGGGCCACCCGCCCAGCCCCAGCGGGATGGCGATGCACATGGACATGCCCCCCGGGGAGGGCATGGAGGAGCCCACCCGGGGGCCCAGGACCCCCTCTGCCCACTGAGCAGAGCTATAAATAAATGTTTCGGAAGAAGCTGGCTTCCCTGTCCTGGCTCGGAAGGTGCCTGGGGGCCTCCAGACCCCCGGGAGAGGGCGTCTGGCTTGTAGCGTGAGAGTCAGGCCAGTGCCCCCCAGACGGAGCTGTCCTCCAAGGGAGCGGGCGGAACAGCTCTGCCCTGACCAGGGCTGGACGGGCCGCTGCCGTCCCTGCCAGGGCCCTGCCTTCCTGTCGGACGCATGGTGTCGGGGAGCAAGTTGTACCTTGGAGCAAAGGTGAGGGTGGCAGCTGCCCCTGCTCTCCTGCCGCGGGCTCAGGGCAGTGCCCAGCTCCTGGCGCCGAGCCCGGGAGCACTGCCAGCAGCCACCTGGCAAGGTTTCTGTTTGAGATGCTCGGCTTACCCCGCGGGGCAGGAGGCTCAGCAGGGGCTGCCCGGGCTGGGCCGTTCTCTTCCCTTCTCCTTCCAACCCCGAGAGAAAGAAAAGGGGGTCCCGGAGGCCCCCCTCCTGCCCTGCCCTTGAAGCTCCCTTGCTCTTGTCCCCTTGCCCCAACAGGCAAGAGGGCTCAGTGCTGGGTCCTTGAGCTAAAGATCTGGGCAGGTGGGGGGACAGGAGCAGGCTGCGCTTGGTGCAGCAACTACACAGGACCAGGCCCTGTCCCCTCACCCCAGGGACAAGGCAGAGCTGCCCCACCCCAAGGACTCTCAAGTCACTGCAGCAGTTCTGTGCCTCAGGTCTGTTCTCATTGGCTCCCTCCTCAAAGGTGGGGATCCCCCACCCCCAGTCCCTCTCCCACCCCCCATGGGAAAGCAACCTGGGGCCAGAGGCCTGCTTTAGGGTGTGAGCGGAGGGGTGACAGCCTCACAGGAAAGTGTGGCAGGAAACAGCCCAGAAAAGGGTTTCTCCCCAGTCCCCACCCTTGTGGGCAGGGAGGGCGAGGCTGCGAGGTGTCACGGGAAAGGCAGGTGCTCCCCGCCCCCCAGAGGCTCCCCCTCCATCCCCGTCTGCGGGAACGCCAGTCATCTCTAAGGAATGAGGGAGCCT